TTTCTGCATAGAAATGATGACATTCCGTCCTCTTCCACCCAGTGTGAGTTAAATTACTGTAGGACTGATGCTTTTCTCATAAATCCCCTCAGAGAGCAGAGCATGTTGACCAAGACTCTCACTGACATTATATCGGAGCTCCAAAAATTGGGGTGAAAATCAGAAACGGTGAGTCTCTCTAACTTGCCCCCAAATCTATATAACACCCAGTATGGACATGAAAATACATGGGTTCGTTTAAAACAAGATTGTGCTTCACACAGTGAAAGAATTTTTTTGATACGACCTTTAGTTTTTGAGCTGTGAGCGTTAGTTTGAGGAGCTAATCCTTAATAAGCCTGTTTGGTTGTCACTCTGCTCTGCTCACTGTGAGCAGCCGGTGACTCACAGCTGATTGGCTGATTGATACACTTTCAAAGTAAAAGCTCAAAGATGTTAAAAGGTATTGATCTTGGTTTACCAAACAACTGGCTTTTCAAAAATAAAATGTATTAATGTAAATGACACCTTATGGATCATTAGAATTTTTATATTAACCAGCAAAAGTTTCATTTGCTCACACAAAAGAAATTTCTCCAGAAACATTTTAGCTTTTATTGCTCGTGTTGCCATTTCGTATAAACTTTTTTTCGTCTTTGCTCGCTTTGCTGCAGGATGATTTAACTTTAGGCTCCTGACCTTCAAAAAGTAAAAATAAAATAAAAATCTACACATTTATTTATCAGCTTTATTTGCATTCATTTGTTTCATCAATGTGCAAACAAACAAACTGTCTTTTATTCTGACGGATGCCAACTCCAGAGTAAAAGCAGCCCGTGAGCGAAGAGAACCTGTGATTGATTAGACTTGAAGAGGTCTCGACTTGTAAACGATTGAAACTGTGTTAAACTCATTAAATGCAAAACACAGAGCCACCGTCGCCGTCGCTCTGCACCAATCATTCCAATCGCTCACCTTTTCTCCTCGAATAAAATCACATTTAAGGGTCAGCTGGTGGCCGATTGATCTGCAGACGGCTTCAATTCTGTCGTCTTTGCTTACTGCAAACATTTACTGAATAAATCACGAAATGGAAAAAACAAAAACACACTGATTTTCTTTCATAATAAAGCGCGCCTGCTGCGACGGGCATTAATCAACTTTTTCTCGGGGGAGGGTATGGATTTATTTTAGCTTTAGAGAGCGAGACTAAAACTGTGTTACGGCGACATACTGCGCACTAACAAAGTTTTGAAACTGTTGAAACCAGAATTGATGTTTTGGCTTCCTCTAATAAAGCCGGGCTGCTGTGCTGTGTGTAGCAGAGGTGAAGCGACACATCGACTGATGCACTTTATGATTTAGTGCTGATTAAAGATTGAGTTTCTGAGCCGTATAACCAGCTGGTCCAGGTGAATGTTTTTTGTGTGTGTGTGTGTGTGTGTGTGTGTGTGTGTGTGTTTAAGGAAGATATTCAGTTGCTTTATTGATTTTAACAGTACAAATATTTCACCACTTTGAGTTTTAATTTCTTTCTATACTCGTCTCCTCTTTGCTCTGACTAAACACGGCCTGCAGCTCAGCTGAGACGTCCTGTATGATAAAAAGCAGTAAAAAGTAAAAGTATACAGATGATTAGTTCAAGGACTATAGGAAAAAGTCTGAAGATTCTTTCTGTTTTTATAGTTTCTGACTGTGATAACTGGTTGAATGTTGGAGATTTTATTTTATTTTTTAAAGTTAGCCTTTTGTACCTTTACTAGATAGTATATAGTAAAGAGAGAGACAGGGAAGTGGGAGAGAAGATTGTGGGAAGGACCTGCAGCAAAGGGCCATGAGTGGGATTTGAACTCACTACCACTGCATCGGGGACGATAGCCCCTGTACATGGACGCCAGCTTAACCAGGTGAGCTAAAGCGGCGCCCCAGAGATTTTATTTTTTTTTATCTTTTCAATACTTTTCAAATTTGAAGAGGGTAAATTCTAGCACACAACAGATCTTCTCTGTTTTGCTTTTATTGTTTCAATCACAAATATGTGCTTATATTTTTGTTCCGTATATATTTTGTTACTGCATGTTAATTCTGTCTTGAATTGATTTCCTTCAGTCTTGAAATGTTAGAAATCTGGTTCAACCAGGAAAAGCACTTGTCATTATTATTTTTTCCTTATTAATAACTGAATTTTTTCATCTCACTACTATATTAAACAGGTCTGTGAAATGAAATGTTTAGCGTCTAACACATTCGGTCTCATTTTGATATACAGTCATCCTCAAATGTATTCATATCCTTCTATTAAAGAAAAGGCAAAATTCACAATAGTCACTCAAATAACTAGAAACTGAAAAAAAGTAATCATAAATAAAAAAATTGTAAATTACAACTTAGTGAAATAAGACATTGCTTTTGAATTGTGGTTCAAAGATATAATTTAAAAAAAAACAACAAAACTGTCCCGGACAAATTAGAGCACTTTGCTGATGAGCAGTGGGTTAAAATCCAAACACCTGTCAACAGGTGCAGAAGTCTGACTGAGAGTCACAGAAAACACTTGACTGCAGTGATTGGCTCAAAGGTTTGTCCAACAAAATAATAGTTTATATCTCACATTATGCTTGTTTGCTTGTTTTAAAAAAAAAATATTTCTGTTGAACCACAATTCAAAAGTAATGTCATGATTTTCATTACATTTTTATTTATTATTACTTTTGTCAGTTTCAACTTATTTCAGTGTTTTTCTCCTTCTTTAATGGGAGGGTATGAACACATTTGAGGACGACTGTAGATATTTAAACATCTATAACACTCATAGTTAGATATTTACTGTACATAGTGGTTTTTTTCCGTCTCCCTCGCAGCTACTTTAAAAACGAACTCCAGACATGTGAAGAATGTGAATTACACGTCTGTAGAAATATGAACTGCTGTAACAGATCCAAGACTCCCTGGGTTTACACTTGAATGACTTTTTTTTTTTAATCTTGTGTTGAAGATTTCTCTGTAATTATATATTATTTTACGTGTGTGATGATGGGATTTTAAAAAGAAAAAATATTGCCGCTTTCTTCACAAGATCTTTGAGTCTGTCTTCATCTGTCGGAAGCGTGTGTGTGTGGGAGGAAAGTGAAATCTTTTCTTAATGTACGGCGTCGGTCCCGGATGAGACTGAACTGTCGTCGTTTTGATTTATAGAAAATGACATGCGGGTGAAAGGAAACTTCGCCTCCGTGACAATCGCTTTACAGCAGCGACATGAAATACAAAAAAACACTGATTGTAAGCTGAACTACGGTTTTAATTTATTTATCGGTGGAGGAAGGTCGGTTGGTTTCTATTTCTTGCATCCGTGTTTGTATGAAAGGCAGAGGAGGACGGTGAAGTCTGGTTTCAGGAGTTGGCATTGTTGTTCAGGGTTTACAAAGTTTTTTTCAGAGCTCTGCGGGTGATTTAAAACCGATAAATAAGGAAGAGCGAGCTCGCAGCATTATGAAACTTTCAGAACTCTTCCTACGTTTCAAGCCTAACATGCACATTTCATTTACCTGCTAGCATGTCTTCATTTTCTATCATGACTGGCTTTGCTGTCATGCGGTTGTGTTGAATAAAGCTACAGTGTTGTGTAACTGACATTCAGCATTAATGTGATGTGAAAGAACAATTCAATGTCAAGACAACACATAAAGCAACAAGTAAAACCAGCCTCAAAGGATAGTCATTAACTGCAGTGTGCAGTAAAGCTGCATCAGATAAATAAATTCAGCACATTTTATGACATTAAAATATCAACAAACAACCTTCAGAGCCTCAAGACCCATCGAAGGGTTTTTAAAAAATGTCCAAATTACAGCGTTTATCTACCAGAAACTGTAAAAATAGAAAAAAATTGAGAGGTTTTCAAATTTCCGACAGTTCTTGAACTCGTGTCACATGTGGTTCTGTCGGTAAAATTGACCAAATCTAAGCTTAAAATAGATTTTTCCATTAAAGTCACTTTATTCAACATGTGCTCTTCGGTACGAGTGAGATGCCATCACCAGCAGTCAATCGGCAAAATTCAGCGACTGTTCGGCTGAAGTGCAGGAAGTGTTAACACAGAGCAGAGAGGAGAGAGACTCAGAGGCTGAAAAAACATTTTGGATCAGTAAAATAAATGCAGCACAGAGAGGAGCACGCTGTTGGATTTTGTAATGCAGTGAAAAATGTGAGTAAAAAAGTACAGAAACGATTCAGGGTTCAAAGGGTTAAAGGAGGAGAAAGCAGAATCCATGACAGTCGGAATAAATCTAGGTACCAACTATCTAGGTCATGCAAAGTATTTAGTTTTTTTTTTTTTCTCATAAATATTCTCAGAGAAAATCCAAGTTTGTCTCATATGAAACTCTCAAATGTAAAACCTGGGGAATCATTCCAAGCGTATGAAGTTTATTTTCTTGTAGATCTATTACCTCAATCTCAGAATATAACTTTTTTTTTTACACATGAATTCATGTTTTTTTTCTCTTTAAATGGCAAATTTAACATCAGAAAACATCAAAGATTTTTTTTAAATGTGTATTTGTGATTTTTTTTTTGCAGGCATTTTTTTCCTCCCACATATATTTGTGAGTTTATTTCTTTAATTTACCACTTTAAAGAACATTGTGTGTGTTTTTTGTTTTGTTGTTTTTGTTTTTTACATAAATGTGTACCTTTTTTGTAAATCTACCTCCTTAATCTCAGTGATTTTTTTTTTCACATAGATTTCTTTCTTCTTTTTTTTGTAAATTTGGTGCCTTAATGTCAAATATCAAGATGTTTTGTTTTCACAAAATCTGCACATTATTTCTCAGAAATGTACCAACTTAATCTCTGAGAATAACCAAGTTTTTTTTCATGCATATTTGTGACTTTTTTTTCCCTCTTAAAAATCAGAACCACAGTGAACACACAGCTCTTTTTCTACAGAACTTGATTGAATGTCTCCACATGTGATTTCTATGCAGTTTATTTCTGCTACGACCTAAAACCAGTGAGACGAAGTGTCCACAAGCTGCAGATCTGATCAAAGTGAAGCATTAAAACCAACACCAGGACACAGTCGATAACAATGGTAACAGTGATGTGAAGTGTGCTCTGACCTTCCTTGGCAGGCGGGATTGTGGGTAGCGGGGTGGTGGTGGGGGGTTTGGTCGGCGCCGGAGTCGGGACGGGTACTGTGTGGAGAGAACAGACAACATGAGGAACCTGCAATCATCGTAAAGCGATCAGCACGCGTTCGATGACCCCAAAATTAAATCCTCCCTCTGAGAGAAACTGTAAAAGCAGCAGAGCCTCGTATAGAACCTACAGAATGTGTGAGATAACCACATTCAGCTCTGTGATTTCACCTCCTGTATAATTTGCCAGATTGATCACAGCGTCAGCCGCAGCGTAAATTAAACTCCCACTGTCTCTTCTTACCTGTTTGTGTGTGTGTGTGTGATTGTGTGTGTGTGTGTTACCCTCCCTCCCAAAGACACACAAACACAGTTTGTGCATTCAGCGCAGTTTAGGCAGTAAATCAGCTACCTGAGGCTGGGAACGACTTGTGATGGCAGGTAGGGAGCGTTCGGCAGCGGCTGCCTGCAGCGATGGGGATAGTCATTTGGAGGAAAGGCTCTGGCTTTCATTTGCATCAAAACAAAGCAATAAATCAGCGCGGAGGCTCTCGGCACAGCTACAGTACGGAAGGGGAGGCAGCTCCGAGCAAACAAATGCCTGCTTTGGGGAAGGAACGTTCCTTCTTTGCTCCATCTCCGCGGATAGTTCTTTGTCTCGCTTCAGCCTCTCATCTCTCACTTTCATTTTCGTGTCGCTGCTTTTCTTTACCTTCCAGACGAACATGTGGAGGCTCTGAATGCAGCATGTTCCTGACAGCTAGTCCACGTCAGGGTGTCAGAACTACCTGGCAGAACGGTGCAGAGTTCACAAATCAATTAAAACCACCGAACGCTGCAGGAACATAACTCCTCGCTTTCTGCAACATCTTACACCGAGTCTCAGGACACTAGAAGAGAGATTTTTTGGAAACGCTGCCGACCCAGTTTCAGTTGTGACTACAGGGTTGTGTTTCAGTCTGGATGGGCAGCAATGGAAGCTCATGAACACTTATGACATAATGGGTTTCTGACCTTGTGGTTTCTGCTCACAGCTGTTGTGTCGTTCACAAAATCTCTAATCTGACTTTCCTCCACTGCTGCTCTGCAATTCGGGATAAATATGCTCGTTTGCAATCACAGTCAGGGGATGAAGTTGCTCGTACCTGTGTCTTTTTAGACAGAGATTATTTTAAGTTCCATCCATCCATTATCTACATACTGATTCATTCTCACTAGGGTCATGGGGGGGCTGGAGTCTATCCCAGCTGGCTCAGGGTGAAGGCAGGGGTCTATCACAGGGCTACACTTAGAGACAGACAACCAAGCACACTCACATGATTATTTTAAGTCTCACAACCTAAATGTAATCAATTATGAACAAAAACCGTCCTCTGGCGCCTGATTTTAACGTGAGGATTTGCTGCTGTTTTGCATCCTGATAAATTCAGTGTCTTTGGATTTCAGACAAACCTAAAAGTTGGAGCTGTGACCTTGATCTGGACGCAGCACTGAAGTTCACTGAAGCACCCAAACATTTGATCTGCGTTGCCGTGTAATAACTCCAGAGCATTTTCTTTCCAGAGCATTACCTGACACACGCATTTTCTTGGAGATAAATAAAACTGATCTAATCTTTTCTGTGATGTTGCCGTTCATTCTGGCTGATTTCTGACCCTGACACTGATATATGTCTGTATTAAGAACACCAAGTCTCTCCTGAAGTGAAATTAACATATTATCATGTGTAAACAGGAAAAAACAACAAAAAACGACACTGTAGTGAAAAAAATGTGTAATTTAACAGATTTTTTCCCTCTGATTTGACAGATTTTTGTAATATTTCTGAAATACATAAAAATAGAATACAAAAATAGTCCATCTATTGCCAAACAACATTAACCTGTAACTCTATTCTCTCTATATATAAACTACATGCGATTTACTCTGTATAAGTTTAATTTAACTCTAAGAAAATGTCATTTTTGACATCAAAAGAGACAAACATTTGATATTTATTGAATGGATGAAACTGTTAAATTCAAGTTCAGTACTAAAAAAAATAAGAAATAAAATTAGATACAGTTTATGACTATTAAGAGCAAAAGCAGAACTGATTCTGCAACTTTATGCAGATTTGCTTGTTAAATGACAGATATCTCGATCTGTCTCGTTTCATTTGATTGGTTTTACTCCACTAAATATCTTTTATAAACATTAAAAATCCTCCAAAATACAAATGATGCCACGCGAAATAAAGCTATGAAAAGTATGTTATTTATAGAAAATTGTATTTTTATGAGACAGCTACAGTCGTCCTCAAATGTATTCATAGCCTCCTGTTAAAGAAGGAAAAAAACAGCTGTCACTGAAATAAGCTGAATCTGAAAAAAGCAATAATAAATAAAAATGAAATGTAAATCATGGCATTGCTGTTGAATTGTGTTTCAACACAAATATTAAATAAACAACAAGCAAACAAGCATGATGGGACCCGTAAACTAATATTTTGTTGGACAACCCTTTGAGCCAATCACTGCAAGTGTTTTCTGTGACTCTCAGTCAGACTTCTGAACCTGTTGACAGGTATTTGTATTTCACTGCTCATCAGCAAAGTGCTCTAATTTGTCCTGGACAGTTTTTTGTTTTTTTTTTTCTAATTATTCTTTTCAACCACAATTCAAAAGCAATGTCTTATTTCACTAAATTATAATTTAGCAAATTTTTATTTATGATTACTTTTTTCAGTTTCTAGTTATTTGAGTGACTATTGTGAATTTTGCCTTTTCTTTAATGGACGGGTAGGAATACATTTGAGGACGACTGTATTGTGTATTATTTTGTAGTATTGTCTTTCTTTTTCTTTTTTGTTGCACTTTAACTTGCATGTAAAACACCCCACATGTATTTTATGTAGCATTTTAAGACTAAACTGTGAATGTTTTACCCTGAAAGCCATTCCCTGCCATGATTTTGGGCTGTTATTTCATTTTAAAGCCTTTATTAGCTGATATGAAGAATCACATCACTGTCATTCCTACTGTAAAACAAGAAACTCATCAGGAGGATTTATCATCAAACGTCACCTAATAAAAGTTTCACAGCTTCTTTCTCTTCATCTGATCTGTTTAAGTGGACGTTATGAGGGACGCTCGCTGACTTCGGATGACGTCCAGAGAGCTTGAACTCGACTCATCTTCGCGGCGACACGAGTGGATGAGATGTTGCTGAAAATAACTGAAGCGAGCGCTGGGTTTACTGCACACGGAGCTTGTTGCAAATAAAGAAAGAGAAACAGCCCACCCACCCTGCCTCCCTCGTCTCCAGACACTGGGTCTTGATTAGTGTTTGGGGCTGCTGCTGCAGAACAAAAGACTCATTCTGAAAAGAAGCAAGAAGATTCAGCTCCCACAAGGATAAAAGATGTTTTATGCCGAAAGTGACGCGATCGTCCTCCCAGCCGATGACAGCTGACAGCAGGAGTGTGCGTGCGTTTGTCAAAAGCGTGCGTTTCTGCTATATTGTTGCTGTGACACATGGGTTTTAATGGGGGTTTGGCACACGGTATGGAGGAGGTAAAGCACTTGTAGAGGTGTCAGCGGTGTGTGCATGAGTGGGTTTGTGCAAAAGGCTGTGCACGTGGCTTTTCAGTATATCAGCTTTAAAATGTCTCCAGATCAGATAATCCCAACTCACAAAACCATCCCACGTTTCTGTCTTGTCTATTTGTGATCTGAGTGAATGACGCAGGTTTTTAAATGGTAAACAATTCATTCTTTGACTCTTGGCTGAGGAAGAAAACATGATTTAGGAAAGGTCTTACAAACAATGGTAACCACATACATAATGCTAGTTCACAATGACAGGAAAAGTGCATCAACTTCATGTCTTTTAAAAATAGAATCTTTCTGACTAAATAATAATGAAATCCTCAATAAAATATAATTTATTTAAAAAAAAAAAAAGAAGATTTCTGTATTTCTGTCAACGTTTGAAGGTGTTTGTGTCTGCGCTATAAAAAAAGAAGAAGAAGAAGAAAAGACAGCTACAAAAATAGTGGAAAATAATCATCTCAAATCTGCAAAACAATTGTATATCTTGTTGATTTAAGCCTCCTACTACCTTCAAATTTACATACATCTTTCATCCTTGGGTTCAATTTGACCCCAACATTTTAAACCTCCAGAAAATATCAGAATTATAATTGTTCACCCAGGTTTATGTGTAAATAGCCCCTTAAATAAAACAGAAAAAATGATATCAATGACTTATTTAGAGATGTTAAACATCGAATAGGGTTTATCTTTGGGGTCAATTTGACCCCAACGATAACAGGAGGGTTAAATACAGTAAACATTGTGTACATTTAAGATTGAAAATTATTAAAGAACAATTTAACACATCAAAAAATGGAAAATACCAGTAAATGGTTCAAAAATTTCAGTTGAAAAAATTCTGATTTTTACAGGTAGTTTGGTTTTATCAAATAAATGTTCTAATGCAAAAGATCCAAACACTGATAGAAGTCTAATCATGTAATTTGGTTATAAGCTGCAAGAATCTACTGTTGATTTTTTAACAATATCAAATATATTTTGAGTTTTTAACTGTAACTTATGAGAGAAAAACTTAGAAATTGACATGGGCCCGCCCTCCTGTGGACCCACCACCCGCAGAGGGAGTCATAGGGGTCGGGTGCAGAGAGGACTGGGTGGCGGCCGGGGGGGGCTGCCTCGGCGACCTGGTCCGCACACAGAGCCTCTGGTTGTTGGGACGTGGAACGTCACCTCGCTGGGGGGGAAGGAGCCTGAGCTTGTGCGGGAGGTTGAGCGATATCGACTAGATATAGTCGGCCTCACCTCCACGCACAACCTGGGCTCTGGAACCCAACTCCTGGAGAGAGGCTGGACGCTCCATTTCTCTGGCGTTGCCCGCGGGGAGAGGCGGTGGGCTGGAGTTGTCTTGCTCATTGCCCCCCAGCTCAGCCGCCACGTGTTGGAGTTTACCCCGGTGAGCGAGAGGGTCGTGTCCCTACGCCTCCGGGTTGGGGACAGGTCTCTCACTGTTGTCTCGGCCTA